TGAACCGCTTCCCTTCCCACAATACAAAAGAAATTCGAGGAGAGGGGTGGGGTTAGTGATGGCAATGGGGCGGGGCGGGTACCTCAATTCTCATGTCCCGTCCCACGCTACTATGGGTCGGGGCGGGTAAAATCCGCGCGGGTACCATAGACCAGGAAACCGGATCGTACCGGCCGGTTCAACCGGTTAACCGGAAATTGGACCAAAAGCGGTACGGTGGGCTGATAGTGCTGATTTTACCGTGTCGGCCGGTTTTTTCGGTTCGACCGGTTGAACCGGTTGAACCGGCCGGTACGATCCGGTTTCCGGGTCTATGATTCAGCTTCATTTCTTCGTATTCTCGTCCAATATGTGGAAAATAATTAAAAAAGAATATTATTTTGCTATTTTTCTATGTTGAAAATGGGTCACCGTGGTTGTATAATGCTCTATTTGGTTCTTTTATGGATTATATTTTTTATACTATCGCATTTCATTTCTCTATCAATAGTGAAAACGGTATTTACCGGTACAAAACGGTTGAACCACGGTCGTACCACAAAATACCATACCAGAAAGGAATCCGGTATGATGTCCGGTACGGTTTCCTTTACCATGGCGGGTACAGGGCGGGGCGGGTCGACCCACTCTTACATGTTGTTCAAAAAAAAAAAAATACAAGTAAATTTTACTTTTTACAATAAAACGTAGGGAAAAACACTTTAAGAATGAAAAATATTGATAATAGAATGGATAATTGAACCTAACAAGTTGAAAGATCGACTCTAACTAGTTGAAGAAAAGTCAAAATAGGAGAAATATGTATAGATATTGTAAGAAATTGAGATAAAATGAGTCTACAACAGGGCGGGCCGGGGCAGGGCGGGTCGGAAGTAGATACCCATACCCCGCCCCATCGCGGGTCAGGTCGGGTAATACCCGCGGGGCGGGTTGAAATTGCCATCACTAGGTGGGGGTGGGATTCCGACTGAGCGGGCAACCCGAAGCCAAAATTGATTTGATTTCGTGAACTTCATCGATTTGATTTATGATACGAATTCGAACTACCCTGAATCCGGAACTTTACATCCAACGGAAAGCAAAGAGAGGGGAAAGAAACTGCATACCGGAGACCAGTTCCCTGGTCTATCCCCTAAATCACCGCCATGTCTGCATATTGCAGCTGGTCACTCGACGCCGACTTCCGCCGTGGGAACTCTCCATAGCCAACGAAATCGTAAAAAGATTCAAACTATTAATTATTAGACACATACCTTGTGGGAAGATATGCAATTGCCGATACCTCTTCTTTTCCTATGCTTCTCCCCTGTTTGTTCTTGGTCAAACGGATGGACGAAACCCAGAGACGGCAGTTGAATGACTATAAACTCGAAAACCGGCGGCTTGTGAGCGACGATCTCCTTCTTCTCGATTTCTTTAAGCAATCAATGCTAGCCGAACCCCACAAGCGACGCTCCTTGTTCCCGGCCGCCACTTGCAAGCAGCACACAGAGATCGGCAAACGGAACAGAATGATTCGTCTACACTCAGGATTGGAAAACCTAATTTTAAAATGGAAATAATTTCGCCGCCTACACCCTAATTGGGCATCAGAAAACCCCTTCCAACCCGGCGACCTCTTCCTATTAGAATTAGAATTCCAGCGGAATTTTCGCCGGGAGGTGCAACCGGTACAGCCGGTTGCCCATACGCAGACTGTTCTTTTTATAATTCCCATCAATGGTTAGAATTGCATGTTCAAAATTTCGATGGCGTAGATTTGTGCAAAAAAAATCAAGTTACCTAACTTACAAAAAACACAAGTTACTGTAGGAGGTTCCAAAAATACAGACAGACCTTGTACCGCAATGTGATAAGTGTTGACCGTCTTGGTCATTAAACTAATTTTGGTTATTATTAGTATTGTTTATATGGATATTCTTTTGGTTATTTAGGATTATTATTTCTTGTTAAAGAAGTTATTGTTTAGGAGTTGGTCTAGGATTAGTTTACCTTGTTCGGGAGGAAAAGGGTTTGTAGGGTTATTCCTATAAATATGTACTTTGTCTCTACGTTTTATTCATCAATAAAAGAAGAATAAATCAGTATTTCAGTTTATTTTAGTTTTAGTTCGTACGATTACGCGATGGACGAACCGATCGTCCATCAATTGGTATCAGAGCCTGGTTTCGAAAGAACCCAGGAGCCGAGCACCATGCCGCCAAAGAAGAACAATACGAGTTCTTCTTCAACAGAGGTCGCTGACGACGCTACAGGGCAGCAGATCCGTGAGGTCCTGGATCGTCTTGTCGAGCACGACCAGCAGCTTCGTGCCATTGGAGAGGACCGCAGCGTGATCCTGGCAGATATTGGCCAGCTCAAGGAGTCGCAGAACCTGCTCCAGATCGAGGGTCGCCAGGGACGAAGGGAGCTTCAGCAGAAGGTTGAGCAGGAATCGGAATCCATGGTGAGGAAGCTTGCGCAGGTATTCGAGTCCATACGCGGGGAGATGGAGGAACTCCGGGACATCATGCGCCGGGACTTTTAGGAGCTTGCGAGGAACGGAGGGGCAAAGTCCGGCCCCGACGGTACCGATCGAGAGAAGACTGACGAGAGGAGGATCGTCGTCACTGCAGGAGGGGCAACTCTCTCATGCCGCGAGCTGGAGGGATCTCTTCGAGCATCCAACCACGATGACGCAGCCTGCCGTCGTACCGCCTCCAACATAGCCGCGGGAACCACACCGCCAACATCGGCCGTAGCTTTTGATCGTATGCTGCTGCAGCCGAAGCAACTGGAAGCTGCCACTGCCCGAAGCTTCCGTTTGTTGAGCCATCACCGTCGTTGTTGAAGCTGCAAGAAGTTCAGTCGGCCGCTGTCATCGCTCTGCCGCTATAGTTGCTGGTGCGAATCCGATTAGGCTGCCGATTCAGCATAATTGGAAATATCGAAAGGAGCAACTGAATGAGGGAGGCGAGCTCCAAGACGCCACGGGAGGCCAAGGCTCGATTAGCGGCTGCATTGGTCCGGGTATGGGAGGCCTGGTTGGTGTCCTGTTATACCGGGTCGGTCCCGGAAAATCAAAAGTTGGGACGGTTGGTACAGGGTCGGCCGGAGTGGAGCATATAACAAGTCGAGTTGACATGATTGAGTTTCAAGGCTGTCGAAGGGAATTGATTTCCTTAGGTGGAGGCCTTGCAGGGGAGGAATTGGCAAGGGTTGCAGTGCCTGAAATTAATGGTCAGGTACTCTTGTTTGAATTATCTAATCCAACACCCTTGATAGTTTCCAATAAATCTAGTTACGAGGGGTTGTATGGATTGGGGGTAAGTCGAGTCATGCAAAGTGACGGGTGGTTAAATTTTACCCTCCTCAATTGGAAGTGTAGACAGAAGGGGGGAGGAGCCGCTACTGCTATGGAGAAGGTTGGAAGTTCTCACTGGTTCGACCAGGATGGGCTGAATTTTGAAAGAAATGAATTCGCTAACGATGGAGGATGGGATTGGGTGTTGAAGCTGAATTGGAAATATCAAAAGCGTAAGCTTTGGTGTCTAACTCTCACTGTCGTTCATCACAAGCTGCTAGGAAGCTTTTTCCTCACTGAACCGGGTGGCGACATCGCTCGAACTTCGGGGACGAAGTTCTTTGAAGGGGGAGGATTGATGAGTGCACGTTTTATGAACGTCTGGGTCATTAAACTAATTTTGGTTATTATTATTATTATTGTTTATTTGGATATTCTTTTGGTTATTTAGGATTATTATTTCTTGTTAAGGAAGTTATTGTTTAGGAGTTGGTCTAGGATTAGTTTACCTTGTTCGGGAGGAAAAGGGTTTGTAGAGTTATTCCTATAAATATGTACTTTGTCTCTACGTTTTATTCATCAATAAAGGAATAAAGGAAGAATAAATCAGTATTTTAGTTTTAGTTCGTACGATTACGTGATGGACGAACCGATCGTCCATCACAATGATGAAATCCCCAGGTCAGCTGTCGAGTTTGAAAAACAGTGCTTGGCTCCTTGTCTGCAACCTTTGCAGTAGAATGACCCCATCGTCTTAAATGAAACCCAACGCCAGCAGCAGAGCTGAAACAAGGAGGGGGAAAATTCAATTTTTCTTCGAAGCATCAGAGAGGAGAGCGGATCCGGTGACTAAGGGGGGGTGCTTAGTCACTTGACTAAGCCCCTCCCAGCCCTTAGATCTGGACACATCAATCTGATGGTTAAAAAGTGGGAAGGGCTATTTAATTAATGACAGGTGTAGTTTGGGTATTATGGAAAATTACGAAGTATACAAACCGGACTTAGAATCAGTACAAACCATACAAACATACGAACAGTACAAACAGATTTACAAACATTACATACAAACAGATTTACAAACATTACAAACGTATGAACTGTACAAACAATACAAACTAGACCGACAAACAATACAAACCATACAAAAAGAAAAAACAACCGGGTTGACTTTGGAGGCTCCATCCCTATATAGAGGGGCTCCTTCCCAAAGTCAACCCGGGTGTTTTTTAGACATACAAACAGTACGAACATGGTGGACAAAAATGACAAACTATACCGACAATCCATACGAACTGAAAAAACACTCGGGTTGACTTTGGAGGCTCCATCCCTATATAGAGGGGCTCCTTCCCAAAGTCAACCCGGGTGTTTTTTAGACATACAAACAGTACGAACATGGTGGAAAAAAATGACAAACTATACCGACAATCCATACGAACTGAAAAAAACACCCGGGTTGACTTTGGAGGCTCCATCCCTATATAGAGGGGCTCCTTCCCAAAGTCAACCCGAGTGTTTTTTAGACATAAAAAACATTACAAACATGGTTGACAAAAATGATAAACACGATACACAAAAATAACAAAGTTTACAAACATTAAAAAAAACCCGACAAACATTACAAAATAACAAAGCGTACAAACATTACAAAAAAAACCGACAAACATTACAAAATAACAAAGCGTATAAACATTACAAAATAAACCGACAAACAATACAAAGCATACTAACAGTACAAAATCTCTCCCTCTCCCTCTCCCTCTCCCTCTCTCTCTCTCGTTCACCTGGGACAATTCTTCCCATGTCCAAAATAAATTAATGGACAGCACAACAGAGGAGAGAAAAGGAATAAAAGCCGGCGGTAAATTTTCCCGGCCGGGGAAACGCGGAAGCCGGCAGCAGCCATTTTTTTATCTAAATTAATAAATTAAATAATCATGCAATTACTATAATGTCCTTTATTAAATTGGATTAATATGGGCCATTGGATTTTAATGAGGTGCAAGGGTGGAGATTGATTTAGTCATGTGACTAAGGGACCCCCCTAGTCACCTGATCTTAGCCCATCAGAGAGGTAAGTAACAGAATACAGTTTCTACTTATATGTTCTTCTGATACTATATTACTACAATGTACTAATTTAGTGTAAAATGCCAGCGGCCAGCCACAGGTAGGGATGGCAATGGGGCGGGTTTGTCTAAACCATCCCGATCCCCATCTTCAAATACCCAAACTCATACCCGTCCCATACCCATGCGGGGGAATGTTTTGTAAACCCATCCCCATACCCGTGGGTTTCGGGTACCCATGGGTAATACCCGTACCCATACATCCAACATTATTATACCTAAAATTTACAAGAAAATTTTTAATTATTACTCTAAACGAACCTATTAATCATGAAGTCAACAAAACACGATCATTTTCTTTATACAGTTCAAAGTATATGATCCTAAAATATCCATTAATACATAATATAGAGTATAATATTTTTCAAATTATTATCTTCTAACTCTTATACATCTACTAAGTAATAATTAACTAACATAATCTTGTAGACAAGGGGAATAGTGAAAGAGTGAAAGGAGAATTGAGGAAAATGAATTAGATTTTGATTAAAATGGCCACTCAATTGCATTTCTACTATTTATTTCCTTGAGTTATCCTCATCACCATTGATAGATTACAATTTAATCCAAATATTTTTTTATATGTGAAGAAATTCTCTTGGTGGGGCGGGTATGGGTATGGGAATGGGGTGGGGGAGGTCAAAACCATACCCGCCCCATACCCATCAAACCTTTTGCGGGTTTTACCCATACCCGGTCAAAGTGGGGATTCCCCGCGTTGACTGGGTCGGGGGCGGTCGGATACCCGCGGCCATGGGTTTTATTGCCATCCCTAGCCACAGGTCTTACAGCATCCCAAGCTCACTCGAACCAACTTTACAGCAAGGTAATAAATAGAGGTGGTTGGGGGGTACTCTAAACTTTTCTTTTCATTCAAGAAAGAAGTTTCTATAAACACAAGACTTACTTATATCCACTAAATCCACACGCACACTCTTCATGCAAAACAGAGGAAGGGAGTTGTGAGAAATCACATAGATAGACATCCATTTCCTTTGCCTAAGCCAGAGCCATGATGATCTTTCTCCTCCTTCTCTTCTCCTACATCACTTTCCACCTCTACAAACTCACAATCCAGAACAGAGCAAACTCATGCTGCTACATGCTGCACTACGAGTGCTACAAGGGCACCGAAGACAGGAAGCTCGACACCGAAACCTGTGCCAAGATCGTGATAAGGAACAAGAGCCTTGGGCTGCAAGAATACAGGTTCCTCCTCCAGACAATAGTCAGCTCCGGCCTTGGCGAAGAAACTTACGGCCCAAGAAACGTCCTGGAAGGCAGGGAAGCCACTCCACTCCTCGCGGACTCCCTCTCGGAGTTCGATGACATCGCCTTCGACACCTTAGACGCCCTCTTCGCCAAGACCGGAATCTCCCCAGCCGACATCGACATCTTGGTGGTCAACGTCGCCCTGTTTTCCCCTGAACCTTCTCTGACCTCCAGGGTTGTCAACAGGTACAAGATGAGGGAAGACATCAAGACGTTCAACATTTCCGGGATGGGATGCAGCGCGAGCATTGTGGCCATCAATTTGGTCCGGCAACTGTTCAGGAGTCGCGGCAAGGCCTTGGCCATTGTGGTGAGTACAGAGTCGATTGGACCAAACTGGTACTGTGGGAAGGAGAGGTCCATGATTCTGACCAACTGCCTGTTTCGGTCCGGTGGGTGTTCGATGCTGCTGACCAACAATGGGAGCTTGAAGGGGAAAGCAGTGATGAAACTGAAACAATCGGTGAGAACCCATTTGGGAGCAGATGATGAGGCATACAACTGCTGCATTCAAATGGAGGATAAGCTTGGACATCAAGGCTTCCTCCTCAAAAAGGGACTGACTAAAGTTGCTGCTGACTAAAGAAGAGGCTTAAGAGAGGTGACAGGATACTCATGATTGGGTTTGGTGCAGGTTTCATGTGTAACACTTGTGTGTGGGAGGTGAGTAGGGATTTGGGAGATGGGAATGTTTGGGCAGATTGCATTGATTCTTACCCTCTTCCTCCACTCAATGTCAGCCCTTTCATGGAGAAGTTTAGCTGGATTAATGATGAGGTTCTCACCCATGTGGATCTCACTTCTGCATTCAACAAGGTTTGAACCAGACTCTTTTTGGTGAAGTGGGTGAGTGAAGTTCAATGGCTTTTCATGATATCAAGGAAGGAATTATGAGTCTGTTTGGTTAAGTGTTTTTAGCATTGGTGTATTTCATTGTCTCATTGCAGATCCAAGTTGGTTTTCTTTTCTGGATATGTATGTTTGCGTTAAGGGAACTAATACTGTAATGAGAAGGTTTTAAGGGGTAATATTGTCTCAAACTGGGTTGTTTCTACCCAAACAGCAGGACCATTAAGCCTGACGAAGAAGAGAAAACCATTGGCAAATTTGGATTATGGCCCATATCTTAAAGTAGTAGCACATTAATCATTCATTCATTTGGATTGTCTGGGGTAGGATGGCAATTTTGGTATCATCCGTTTTATCCAACTTATTCGACCTGTTTGGGGCGGGTAATACCCACTTTACATGTAATTTTTTTCAAATTACTTATAATTTTACTTTTATTAACTCATATGCTATAATAAAGTTGTGAATACGTAAGAAAATCAATTTTTCAAATCATTTAAGTAAATTTATCATGTTATAGTTTTCTCTTCAATAAAAAATAATATTTAATATTTATCTTTTAAATTACATACATATATGATATATCTTTCTCTTCCGATCCGTGCCCATAATAAACTGCCTGATATATTCTCGATCTGTGCATCGCTATTCCTAGTCTTGATCAGCGATTTGGGGGTGATTGCCAAGCGTGCGTTACTCGATCGGCGATTTGGTTTCACTCGATTCGATGCTCGACTCTTCTGAGAATTTGATTTAGGTTGCCTACCTGATAAGTATGAGAATTAACATCCGTTTGAGAACTACTCGTGGGGAATAGAAAATTTGGGGAAGAATTAAGAACCCTAATTTCAAAATTGGGGAAAGGTTGGGGATTCGGCGTGATTCGTGCGAAGCAAATGGATAATAAATGGGTATTTTTTTAATTATGATGTGTAAAATTATAAATAATAAATAATTTAAAATATATGATGTGTCATTATTTGCTTATTTGACGCTGATGTATCTGTTGAGTTGGCGCCTAGTCAGCAAACTGTCAAATAAGTTGACGATGTTATTAACATCGTAAAGTTTCTAACGGGAATGACTATATTTGTCCTACAAAAGTTTAAAAGCTGGCTATAAGTGGTATTTCGCCAAATTTGGCTATTATTGGCACAAACGTAAAAGTTTTGGCTATACAAGTATATTTTGCCAAAAAACTTTAGTTTTCAACTTTCAACTACATAATCATGAGGCCCCCTTAATCGTATATGTATTTTGCTAATTAATCCATATTGTTTACTTCTAAGTTCTACCTAAAAAATTCACTAGTTTGAACTCATTTTTTCATAGGCTCATATGTGATTAACTGTTTCAGGCCTAGGATAACCCTTGAAAGTTGAAACCCTACAATTGAAAAATACTTGAAAAGGTGAACATTACATCCCAAAGAAGTGAACTTTGCTAGTTCTCAATGGTTGTTGACTTATTTTATAGTTGGTAGTCACAAAAGGGTTTGAATCAAGATAATATCATACAAAGAGAGGCTTTATATCATCATTCCAAGGGTAGTCAAGCCAATAGGTCGGGTACAAAGTTTTTTTATATTGTATGAGCCATATACCTAGGGTGTCACATGCAACTATAAAACAACAAAAAATCCATAAGTCACACATGAAATTAGTTAATTTGTTACATTCTATTATTGATAGACACATTTGAATTTAATTAGATATTTAATTCTATAGTGTGTTGTAGGGGTGGGCACGTGGGTGGTTAATCCGCAGATTAATATCGATCCACCCGCAAATAACCCGACCGGCACGTAGTGGGTGATTGATGTGGGTGGATTGCAGATTGATAAATCTTTCACCCGCACTTATGTGGATGGGTGGTGGGTGGATTGCGGGTCACCCATATGACCCGCATCCTATTTTTACATGAAAAATGTGGTTTCTTATAGTATCGAATATTCATCATATTTTCGAACTGTACTACAGTCCGACCATATACTTCAAAAGGTGGAGAATAAATAGTAATTTTGACTACTACTATTGGTCATTGTGTTGTGCAATATCCATTAGATATTGAATATTGGTATGCAAATTATTGTTAATAACCATTAAATATTGGGATGCAAACTATAAATCATTAATTGTATCAAAATCACAAATTATTGATATAGTCTTACTAATTTGCTATGAACTTATTATAAATGTTAGTCAACTTTCTTAATGGCTAGATGGAGAATTGCTTTCGCGGGTTGACCCGTGACCCAACCGCACTCATCTGCCACCCACCCTACCCACCCGCTTACTAGCGGGTTGAGTCAATTTGAGACCAAAACCCACCCGACCCGCCCGTTGCCCACCCTAGTGTGTTGTATACATTGTTATATATGTTATATAACATAAATTTGTTATATTCATTATATTTTTGGATTGATATATCTTAAGAAATAGTAGATAGTTATTAGGGGGAAAAAGTAAGAATGTAGTGTACAAAATTTAGTTGCATGCTAATATTACTACCAAAATTAAGCCCACAAGTGCTATTGTCTATGTGCATTCCGTAGCGGCAAAAAATATAAGTCGAAATCAAGATGACATTGAGAATCAACATAAGACCTTAACTAACCTAGTTAGAGATGTATGTTGCTCTCTCATGAAAGGAAACACTTTCTCTCTTGGTCGTGGAAATAACCGATGGCATGTTGTTCCTCTAAAGGGTCAACTTGCTCAAATGACTTCAGAGTTGGGAATTGTTTTTCGTGGTACTTCTCCAATATACGGGCAGTCGGTCTCCTTCTTGTTGATCTTGGCTATAAGAACTATCGGTGGATTGGTCCAATTGGACTTGCTATTCTTACCGTCTTTTATTTTGTTTTATGAATTAACTTGTATTATTAATGTGAGATAATTGGATGGATCGCTGATTCTTGTGTAGGAAAGCAACTCATACTTCTTACTTTATATTGACAGCTTACAGAGGATTTATACACACAATAACATAAGCAGACAAATACATTAATTACATAATTTGATATTATCTTGAGAACCAAATCTTGAGCTTGATTTTGGTTGATGCGGGAGTGATCGGGGGAACAATGATCTATGTGGTCCATGCACAAATTATATATGCTAACAATTAAAACAAAGAGTTTTATGCAGAAAATGTGTATCCAACTCAACAAACCAAAATAGAAAAATACACTGATTATAAACTGACTCAACACTATAGTAAAGAATGAATGTTGCTTTCTCAACAATAACTGATGAATGATCCACAAAACCATTCAAAATTGTAAAATGGAGCTATAGTAAATGTGGCAAATACATGAAAGTTCATGTACTAGATTTCAACTGTTAAATGTACTAAACTTTGTACACTACTTCTTAAGTTGTATTAATACAAAATATAATAACTATAGCAAATCTAAGTTATACCAAATATATAACATTCTATAGATTGTCATATACAACAAATGCATATAACCATATACATATGTTTTTTTATGGATATAATCATATACATATGTTATATAACAATGTTTGTTCTATTCTATGGTGCACCAATTTTTTTAAGTACATTGCATGCACCCATATATTCCTCTTAATATTAACCATTGAGGAGATCTAATGACTATAATTGTTCAATAAACGATTAATAAATAGTAGAAAAGATGCTTGATATTTATTAAAAACTAAAAAATTCTGGTAATTGCAATCCAGCCCCTTCACTTCAGCCCGTCGACGGCCACCAATTACAGTTGTGGGGCAGATAATTCGAATTGATTCATTTTAAATGATTCATTTTTTAAAACAAGATAATTGGCCAATTAGTTTCGTTTTACAATAGATCCATCCAAACGAATAATGAAAAACCGAATTTGTATCATAACATTAAATATAAAAATTCAGTTAGAATTGTAATTTTTTTTTATAAACAATAACAAGTATAGTAGCTTAGCTCTATAGTTAAAATACTAATTTATGTTTATGAATTTAGCACCATCATTATCCCATGGAATCTTGACTTGTACCATCTCATCCCACTTGTTATTCTCTCTATTATATTACGTAAATGAACTGCTAAGCCAACAACGAGAAGACAAACAGTGGGAAAATGTCGTTTTATGAACACTATAGAGATATTTGATTTATCATTTATTAAGATATTCGTCCTCATCGTATCAATGACTAATCTCTCATTTCAGTGGATCAAACAAAACGATATATAATTGACATTAAGACACAACACGATGCATAAATATAGAAAGCCAACGCTTAAAATTTATATATGTACATTTTCTAACCACTTGAATTATTGGAACTGGAACTGGGTTCACATCATATCAGAGCTGGTTTGATTGTGATGTCATTTATTCAAGTTCACAAGATCCTCCAATATTAACAATTCATTCAAAGTACACGGTATACCGCGCATGTGCAAATTTCAAGCTCATGAATTGGTTTTCGTTTGAATGACAAGTGATTAATATCAATTTATAAACATTTCTCAACAACTCGAGTTATGGAAAAATTCTTTTAATTTTTATTTAGTGCATGAACCTCCTAATCAAATTCTCGACAAATTAAATTAATCAAGCGAGTGTCTGAGGAAGTTGTTAAAATTCATGAACAAACATCTCCCAGCAATTCTAGTTATTGGTACAATCGGTTTATAATATGGTGCTAAAGTTGGTTTGTTATTGAGGTCATGTGTTCAAGTCTTTAAGACTCCAATATTAATTATCACTTGACGACCTTGTACAAACTTCAAATTCATAAATATTTTCGCTTTCGTTTCAAAATGCACTTAAAAAAATGGTAAGATCCGTATATGTACATTTCCCAACAATTCGAATTATTAATGCGAATTGGTTTAGTACAAGCAAGTCTAAATTGTTTGAATCAAATTAACCGATTTTTTTGTCGAATCAAACCAATAACCAAGGCATTTGGATGATCCTTGGTCCAGCTTCACAAACTAGGATAAGTGGAAGTACCACTTATCCTAAAAACGAAACGCTAAATAAAGCATGGCTTTAAGAACAAAAAAACGCAACTCATCTCCTCTCTTTCCCTCACCTTCGCTGCGCTTTCCTCTTCGTCTTTCCCTCCATCTTGTCGTCTTCTTCTTTTCTTCTACAACTTTTCCATTTCATGTTGGTTATCAGCTCTACCTCTCTCACTTCTCTTCCTTTCCTCTCTGGTCTTCCTTCACTCCAATTATTCCTCACTCCTCTCTCAAGCTGATGATCCCTTGAACCTCTACCTTCCCTCTTCCCCTGAGAACTGCTGCCACAGCTTGCTCTGGCCATGGCTTCCCCTGTACTAGAAGGTGAGTCAGCTTTTAATCCAAATCACTCAGCTTTGCTCATTCGAGATCGGCTTGCTTTTTCAGTCTCGCGCTTACTGCTAATTAGTAGTACTTTATTGTTGCCTTAGATAATGGTGATTATTGAATTAATTGAGTGAATCTAGGAACCCATAATTTTTTTTTTTTGTTCATAATTGCTTACAATCAGAACTTTTCGTGGAAAGTTCACATCTTTGGCTTAGATTCCTGTTTCATGGAAAAAATTCGACTCTGGGTTCTCTTGGGGGAGGGGGTTTAATTCTGATAGTGTTAGAGGATAGTTGAGAACATCAAACTGATTTGTAGAAAGAAAATGTTTTGGTGGGGAAGATCGTTACTGCCAACCCATGAAACACTAATGGAGGAAGTTCTTTTACATGTTTTCTGATGGATTTCAATTCAAACCCATTTGGATAGGAGCAGAGATGGACTTAGAGAACGGACTTCTGACTCCTCAAAAATCCCAAAACTCACTGGGTGAGCCATCACCAACACCTTCACCATCCTCTGCATCCACAGCTCCTGCTCTGGTTCTGTCCAACTCCGGGAAAAGGATGGATCAAGCTGGGAAAAAGAAGTATGTGAAGCAAGTAACTGGGCGACACAATGATACCGAGCTGCACTTGGCTGCTCAACGTGGCGATTTGGCTGCTGTGAAGCAGATTCTAGATGGTATTGATTCTCAAATGGTGGGGACTTTGACTGGAGCAGACTTTGATGCTGAGGTTGCAGAGATAAGGGCGTCGGTTGTCAATGAGGTTAATGAGTTGGGAGAGACTGCCTTGTTTACTGCTGCTGACAAAGGACACCTAGAGGTGGTGAAGGAACTACTCAAGTATGCAAGTAAGGAGTGCACTACTAGGAAGAATAGGTCGGGTTTCGACCCCCTCCATATTGCTGCTATGCAAGGACACCATGGTAAGTGTCTGACTGTTTGTCTTTGTTCCTTGTTTCTTATGATTGTATTGCTTTCTCTGTTTGTTTGTTTTTTAGCATGAAGCAGTAGCATCCTTTGACAATGTGTCACATATTGCAGCCATTGTTCAAGTTCTACTTGATCATGACCCTAGTCTGAGCCAAACATATGGTCCGTCGAATGCCACACCTCTTGTATCTGCTGCCACCAGAGGGCATACTTCTGTAGTCATTGAATTGCTATCGAAGGATGGCAGCTTACTGGAGATCTCTAGGTCAAATGGTAAAAATGCTTTGCATTTAGCTGCAAGGCAAGGGCATGTTGAAATCGTGCGGGCATTGCTCACTAAAGATCCTCAATTGGCACGAAGGACTGACAAGAAATGGCAGACCCCATTGCACATGGCTGTCAAAGGTCAGAGCTGTGAGGTGGTGAAATTGCTTCTTGCAGCTGATGCTGCTATTGTTATGCTGCCAGATAAGTTTGGTAATACCGCATTGCATGTCGCTACCAGAAAAAAGCGTGCAGAGGTATTTCTTTGCACAAAGTTGCTTACATCTGCCATTGATTGTATAGCTTCAGTTTTATTTGCAGTTGGCCCTGTGTATATATGGGGTGGGGTTGTATAAATTAGTAATCCCATAATTTTGCATCTTCATGGCAAGATAGTGCGGATATATAGATGTCTCATATGCTCTGGATCTCTTGTTTAACTTCCCTCTCTCAAGCTGTTACTGGTCATAAAGAGACTGATGTCAAATGATAAATCTTTTTCATTGCAGATTGTGAATGAATTGTTATTACTTCCTGATACAAATGTCAATGCACTGACTCGAGATCACAAGACAGCACTTGATATAGCTGAAGGGCTCCCCCTTTCAGAAGAATCTTCTGAGATAAGGGAGTGTCTCTCACGCTATGGAGCCGTCAGAGCTAATGAACTCAACCAACCAAGGGACGAACTAAGGAACACGGTTACTCAAATCAAGAAAGATGTGCATACTCAGCTCGAGCAAACCAGAAGAACCAACAAGAATGTCCACAACATCTCCAAGGAACTGAGGAAGCTACACCGTGAAGGGATCAACAACGCCACAAACTCGGTGACCGTTGTAGCTGTGCTATTTGCAACCGTTGCCTTTGCAGCAATCTTCACTGTGCCTGGGGGGGATGATAACAATGGGATAGCCGTTGTGGTGACCCATGCTTCTTTCAAGATCTTCTTCATCTTCAATGCCATCGCTCTCTTCACATCACTGGCCGTTGTTGTGGTCCAAATCACATTGGTGAGAGGCGAGACAAAAGCAGAGAAAAGGGTAGTCGAGGTGATCAACAAGCTAATGTGGCTGGCCTCTGTGTGCACCTCGGTGGCATTTATGGCCTCTTCTTACATTGTGGTGGGCAGAAGACACGAATGGGCTGCGATTCTGATAACTTGTGTTGGTGGAGTGATCATGGCTGGGGTACTTGGCACCATGACTTACTATGTAGTGAGGTCGAAGAGGAGTCGGTCAATGAGGAAGAAGGAGAAGCATGCCAGGAGGAGTGGGTCGAATTCATGGCATCAATCTGACTTCTCCAACTCTGAAATTGATCGAATCTATGCCCTTTAAATGGCTGGTAATTGTAATCTCTCTGTAAGTTACTTCCAAAACCTGATCTTTTACTGTAGGCTAGTGACATGAATGTCAGAACAACAAACATGTCCAGCAACTATGTATGTATAGAAAAGAAAGAAAGAAAAAAACAAAGCTTTGATTTGCATCTGGGTGAGTGGATTTCTTCTCTGAGGCAGCAGCTGGATTCTCGAGCTAACTGATATGAGCAGAAAATTAGAAATGCTTTGAGGCTGCCTGCCAGGATTATGTGCACGAGAGGAATCTTTTTTCTTTTTTGTGTTTGAGGAAAAATAATCTTCTTATTGTTGGTGAAATTGGTCAAAGCGGACGGCTACTCTAATCACATGGATGAAAATGACTTGCAGGCAGAGAGAGGATCTAGTTCTGCTCCTCTGCCGGCTCTCAACAATGGGGATAATATTTCTATTCTAAAACTGTAATAAATAACAATGACATTTTATTTGGAGTGGTTATAGAACTGTTGACCAATAGCACATGCTAAGAATAAGATCCTACATTTCCATCCCTTGAGTTCTTCTCAAGATTTTCTTAATCCGTTCTCCAGAACAATTATCTTCGTGAACCGTCTTACTGATATCTTTTGAGTTCATCCACTTTATTCATATCTGACTATCGAGGATATAAGAAATCTCAATTTGTTGCTCCTCTCACTTGTTCTTATCAGATAATTTTCGAGTTTGAAATGGTTAAGAAGTTTATGGGTTGTGCTAAGAAAATCAAAGATTTGGAACAGTTATTTTTACTTACATTCTGAAGTCTTTGTAATACCAATGAAAGCTCTATAGCAGGCAGTAGCCCCTCAATCAGATCCTGTGGCTATTGAGACCAAACAGTGGAAACAAAAACCAGAAACAAAAAAGAACCCATTTGAAGTTTTCTTGGTGGCCTTATTGGGTTTGGCTTCTAGTCTACAATTGTTGGGGAGTGGATGGTATCTCTCACCACTTTTAACCTTTATGGCTGAAAGTGGGTGTGCAAAATTGGACTCTCATTTTTTAAGTTCAGTTTTGATCTCATTTGCTATTATGGTTGAATTCTTCTGTCTAGGTTAAATCAAAGGCAGGCTAGGGTGATGGAGTCATTAAACATTATTGTTCCTGTCAAGCTGATAACTTTTTCCTCCCAACTTCTTCCCTGCATTCCAATCTCTCATTTGTCCATTTTCTAACACCTACTTTAGAGTATGTAAAACAAAAACACCTAATATAGAGACAAAACCTACCTATATGGATCCACTACCTGTTTAATTTGTGAAGTTACACACATCAAACTCCCCCTTGGTCTTCTATTACAGCTTGCAAACTGCAATATATGAAGTGGCTGGTGAGAATAGACCAGAGATTTCAGATGAAACACATATCAGCTTTTCAAACTGCAACTGATTAAATCCTGGGTTCTTTTCATTAGGACCCACTCTGAACACTGTAATGGATTGGAGGACAAGCAGCTCATTTAGTTGTGGTTAAGCAAGGTATTATGATACCCTCCTTTCCTTCTAATTGTGGAAACCCAATGGCAATATGGTGGTAGAAAAGAAATGGGTCCTTTGATGGCTTTGTTCTTTAGTGTTTTCCAGAGAGCTACTCTCTAAGTGCTGAGAGACATCATTTGCCCTATGTCTTTTCCTCCTGCATAGCTTTCTTTGCCTCTAATCCTGTCCAAAATGTTTGCTGACATGTCCACTTAGCTTAGCACTCACTGTACTGGAACTCACCAAACAAAAAAGAGTAAAAGAAACAAAGGAAGTTGGGGGAAAGAGACCAAGAAGGATGCTTGTCTGCACTTCCAAAAATAATGCTCATTTGGAGAAAGAAGGTCCCTCAATGTTTGCTTGTTGATTAAAAGGAATCATCTTTTCTCCTTGTTTACATTTGAAATGAAGGTAGTTGGTCTGTTGGGTTACACCTGAGAGGCAGACAGGTGGGTTTCTTTCTTAGCCCAAGGTTATGATTAAATATATGTTGTTCTACCAATGGATGGGACACAATGATGCTTATCTTTGCCTAATCTACAATTTTTAAGCTTTACTAAATGCAACTTTAAGGAGACATCATTGGATTATAGAAATGAGGTTCTTTTCCCTTTGTTGTTGTGTGCTAATGATTCTAGAAATGGTAGTGATTAAGCTGGATTGACCTGAAACTTTATTGCTAAGTGGTGTCAAATCACTTCCATAACCCTGGATTTTTTGTCTTCTGGCTTTTCATCATTAACTTAATAGTGAACTATCAAGTGACTGGGGATATCAATAATGGGTAGTTGATGATCTCTAAAAACCATGAGATCAATCTCTTCAATTGCATTTTGAAGTCAAGATTACTGTAGGCTTGTGAATGTCCATCTTTGTGAAGCTATTCATCAGTCTGAGTTGTGGAAACAGTTGACTTTCTTTCAAAGTACAGCAAAGTTGCAATATGACCCCCAGGTACACGAAGTTGTTTGCTTGGCTGGGTATAACGGAACAGTAAATGTCCATTTAGTGTTGGTGACATTGAAGGATGGATTCTGAAAGCTGACAAAATTCTGAGTTTTAACTTTTCTGCTTTTCATTCCATACCTTTTAGCTATCAGCCACTGTAAAAGTTGAAACTTACAGACTGCAATGGTGGTGGAAGACTGGAATATGATTTGGGAGGTGGAAGGTGTACAAATTTTTTTTTTTTTTTTCCTTTTCATTTTGCAAGCTGCAAGTGATGGAAAGTTCTGCAAGCTTACTGCAGTTAAGAAATGTAAGCTTTTTCCATGGTGGCTTTCCTGACATTTCATTAGACTTGTCTGGAAGGAAACATTTCATTAGACTTATGATTCTGTTAACATCCTAATTCATTGACAAATCTATAACCCCTTACCTCTGACCCCAAAGGATGATACAAATGCTAAAATGAGAAAATATTGAGACAAGTGAAGAAAAAGGACTACATCATTAACCTAAAAAACAAAACTTTCATGTTCCTTCTTTTTTTCTTTTCTTCTTCCATTTGGTGAAGATATCAGCCTCTACAAAGACCAACCCTTTCTGGTTCTTCAGAAATACTAATCTCTGAACCTGGCAGTGAGTAGAACCCAACCTCACTTACACTACTCTTCCTTTGTTCAAAAATCTCCTGAGACTGCTTGCAGTGTGCAATAGCTCCTTGAATTGGGTTCTCAATCTCTGAACACACAGTACTTGTACTTCTCTTCAGAAATGGCAACCCTCGATACCCGTTTGAGCTGATCAAGCTTGAAGACGATGAAGAAGAGGCTGATGATGATGATGAAGAAGAAGAACTAGTTGATATTGAAGATTTTGCAGTAGAGTTTCGTTTAATAGCCATTGAGAATGATCTCCTATGGACCCTATTACCACTGCAATCCTCACCAGTAGTACTCTTATGTTTGCTGACGGTTGTTGATAAAAATTCATTTTGGATCTGCCCAAAAGGAGCTTTCTTCACTACAACTGTCTTCCCATATCCTTCTAAACCAGCTTCTTTGCTGGCTTTTGAAATGGTCCCTTCATCAGCAACTCTTGCAGCAGCAGCTGCTGTGCAGGAATCATCTGAGCACCCAGATTTACCAAACAAGGCCTTGAAGTAAGCCCTCGACGCCTTCAGCTTTGAACCAAAGAGAGCAGACTGTTTGATCAGCTTAAGCTTCTTTGCCCATGATGGCCTCTTTGGATTACTCTCACCCATGTCTATGTATCCGCTCACTTGACATGATGAATACTCAAGCAAGTACTCTTCGCGATTAAGCACCCCGCTGACTGGGCAGGAACCAGCTGGGGAGATGTTGCAGGACTCATAAGGGGTACTTGCTGCTGTAGGAGTGGTTGCCATCAATGGTGTGCTGTAGAACTCTTCAAACACATCTTTTCTGGCACCACCAACGCCACACGAGTTCTCGAGGAGCTTCTCGACCATCTGGAGACGAGGTGGGAGGTGAAGGGGAAGGAGCTTGCCTTTGTAGAATAGCTCATCAGCTGGGGAAGTAGTTGAGTGGTACTCTTTCTCAACTGGTGGTGTTGACATGTGGAACTCAAACTCTCTTGTGTTTTGATTAGCAAGAATGGAGAATGAGTTTATCTCCATGTCAATATAGTCATCATCTGCTGCTGCTGCTGCTGCTGAATGAAGATGGTGGTGGTGGTGATCATGGAAAGGCAGATTTGCAGCAACTTCCATCCTAATTTCTGCTCTCAGGGTTCAATGTCTGGTTTTTTTTCTTCTTAAACTAGAAATGGGCTGATGGAATAGCAGCTAGAGGTTTGGTGGTGGGAGGGAAACTGTGAGGAAGCTCTCTGAATTTAAAAGAGTGAGATGAGGAAGTCATGTGAGTGAAGTGATCAACCTTTGACAATTGTCACAGTTTTGGGATTTTTTGGTTTCTTGTTTTGAATAATTTTATGGTGGGTGACAAGGATTTGAAAAATTGTGTACTTAAAAAATCTGAACATGTTGGGATTGGTTCCCAGTTCCCACTGAGAGGTCCAAGTTCATTTTCCTTGAACTAATGACACTGCTATCAATGAAATTTACTTTTCTTAAACCTACTCAAAGTAACTTTTTGTTTTTGTATCTACTAATGATAGACCAGGTTCCTTGCAGGTTACTGTGATGGAGAAGTTTGATTATGGTTGAGATTTAAATTTACAACATTGAGATTAGCAGTTGGGGACCAACCTAATCCTATGACCCTTTCTATTGTTTCCAAAGGTGTGAAGGCTATATCATATTTTCCCCCCTTTTCCAAAGTAAGTGTCAAACTGTAAAGGATAATTTCAAGTCCGTATTATTTTGTAACTTTTATTTACGTAATACTTAACATATTCAAGAAGTTATCAATCTGACATGTCAGTCGAGTATCTTTTGTACACTAAGCTAATTGCTTTTAATGTTAGAGATCGCTATTCGTAATTTTAAAATCAATTTATTAATTAGTGATAAACTGACGAGAGGATGGTGCCGTGGTGATGATTGCTATCCGTAAAGCTTTAAACTTTAAGGATAATCAAACTGGGATTATCAAAAGATGAGCAAAAACCCCTATGTCTTATGGCTCTCTAATCATTCTTTTGATGTTAATAATTTCCTCTTTCACCATGGGGGTTTTGTCTCCTAAATTATTTATCGGATTATAGGTGTTTGGTGTTTAATAAAAAAGACATCTTTACCAGGTTTTACTGCTTTTACAGGATTCCTGGTGTTGGGTTCTTCTGTGATAACTTATTATATATCTTGTCTCTTCCAATTAATCAAAGGTTGTCTTATTATTGGCAAATCCCTAAAGCCTAAATGATGGAACCGTGTGCATGTCTCTTTTGTTCATTTTTTTCAACCTTTTTCATATGCTTTTTAAACGTTATAGTGGTGTCTGCGGAATTTTTTTTTGGGTAGAAATCTGCTGAATTCTTTTAGGGCATAGCTAAACATAAAGAGCGGACGAACTGATTGTGAGTTAATCCCACACTAATAAATAATTATTGTATGTATCCGAAGCTAGATGGTACAATCACTAAACAAAAAGATTTATGTTCAAATGTTCTTATTGTAAATTAAATATTGTAGGTGGTACAAATTTATTTTATTGACATCTTCAAAAGAATGGGGCTTTTTACCATAGAAAGATTTTTTCTCTCTTTCAGAGAGATAGTTGCATCAATTAGGAAGGTGAACTTCTCGGTGACTACTAACAATCGATATATATTCTTAAGTCTTTCTCGCGTCATCAAAAATATATCGGGAGTAACCCGGAAGCATTATTTCTAGGTGTAAGTTGTAACAAACAACAAGCTGGCTGTTTTTGGTCAACGACAGAAACTAGCTCATTGAGGGCAGAGTTCTCATTTCTGGATTGGGCTGTATTTTTCAGGCAAATTCAAGGCACCTTCATCATGTGTGTCTGTCAAGGAAGAGATAGCACAATCTCGTTTAGTAGTGTCCCAAACCAAACCTCTCTGTATCTAATCCAAATTAGGCAATAAGGTTGACGAAAGTCCCCTGTTTTTTGTCTTCTGGGCTTGGATTGATTGCACCTATCAGAGACATATCTTACTGGCACTTGTTGGTTGGTAAAGAGGATATAGCTAGCTTCCCGGTTCTCTGTCTTGTCCTTTCCCTCCCTGCTCCAGCTAGGGCTTAGACGTCGGATTCGGTTCAGCGGTTTAATTGAAATCGGATTTTTTGGTTAATGGGTAACCGAGAATCGAAATCGAGCCAATAGAATGGTCTCGGTTGGGAGTTTCGACAATATTTCGAGTTTCGCTGTAACCAAAAAATCGAATCAAATCAGACAAAAATCGAATATAGCCGAAAATCCAACCGGATTCACGCCCAGACCAACATGTCATTCCAACTCTAAGGTCCAACCATATTATGGACCAAACCCAATGAGTTATTAGGTTCAATGCGGACAATCGAAGTATATCCGGAAAACCGAAACATTCGGCTCTCGGGTAACCAAAAACCACATCGGTGTCTGTTACTGTTGCACAAATGTGACCAATTCGGGTTCAGGTAATCGAAAATCACATCGATGCGGGTTATGGTTGCTTTAATGGGGCCAACTCGGATTCGTGTAACCGATCGATGCAGATTACATGCGATATAGGTGTTGATTGTTTGACGCGAATGAGTATCGTGTTCTAATTAATGTTTGATGTTTCATATCACTTGTTACGTGTGCATGATGAATTCGTCGAACCAATTAGGCATGGTGATGAGAAAAAAGAGTGAGTGGTCGACTTCATCGAAAGGGAGAGGAAAGAAAAACGTTTGATTGACTGACAGACTGAAAAAAATAACAAAGTAAGTGAAAGAGAGCCGCCTTCCCAGTTTTGGTTCTCTTCATTATCAAACGATATAATGGTTTGTGGAATGTGCACAAGGAAGAAGACAAAACGACTGTGCTTCCTTACAAAATAGCAAGATGGAGATAGAGGCGATTGTGATTGGTCAAATTGTATTTTGTTCCACTACTACTTCAACATGAGTGTTAGTGACTTAGTGTCCATTAAAGCAAAATAATAGTCAAATTATAATTTCTGAACAACAAAAAAAAAAAAAGTTGTCAATAATAATAAATATAATAACTAAATCGTTAACTTTTATTTGGACATGGGTTGTGACATGACGACTCGATATCGGAATCAATTACATACCAGAATGCATGTTGTCATGTCACCGTTGTTTAAACTACTATTTTGTTCCTACTCGGATGCTTTCCTTCGTATAATAGTCGTCCCTATTTTTCTTCTATTTCGCAAGTACCCCTTAAGCTCTTGTAGCTTCCTTCACCTTACATGACCGAATGTTTATCTGCTTCGTACTCGTAATTGAGTTTCACATCATATATACTCTAAACTGTAAACCCTAAACTCTTCTTGCTCTTCTTTAATTGGTTCCCCATTTGCCAAGAACTCTGCGGGTACCAAAGAGCAGAATAAGGTTATCTGGAAAACATACCCTTTTGGGGCACTCGATTGCAGTTGGTTAAAGAGAGTCAAGTTGCTTGCTGCCCTTTGACGATCGAATGTATAGTAGTAATCTTTGTGAAGGTGGCGGGGCTACCTTTTGCCACCCACTAGCTTCTGTTCTTTTGCCTAGAGCATACGTTGGAAGCCACCATCAGAATCCCTTTCCAATGCAATGATTCTGCTCTTCAAAAGATTGATCAGTCAAATTACCAAATTCCCTGCCTATAAACAATCCCAGGTCACTTTACTTTCTAAGTGAAGGCGCTTTTAAATGCCACGGATGTTTCAAGTAAATGTATTTTTTTTATAAGGGTGATATAGGTTTCTTTTTTGTGATTAAGGTACTACTTAAGGGATTCGAATCTGAGACCTCCAAGTTTTAGACTAGTGGTATTACCAGTAGACCAAGCCCTTGTTCGTCCCAAGTAAAGTTACTTGACACAATCTTCTTGGCACACACAACATACACTCTCCGATACCTAATCTCGTTATAAAAGTGATTTGAATTTAATGAACTTGTTTATATGTTTATATGACTAGTGATCTTGCAACCTGTAATCTCCTGAAACTATTTAAACTAATTTGTCATGCTCGTGGACTAGTTAACTAATACATTTCGTGTGAGTGAATTAGTGAACCATGTAAATATATGTCGTGAAAGTAGGGCTGAAAATTGGCCCGACCCGCCTCTGACCCTGTCTGACCCGCCCCGACCCTGTTTCTTCCATGACCCTGTCTGATCCTTTAGGGTCGAGGCTGCTCAGAAAGGGTCGGATCAGTGGGTCGACCCTAATAAATACACTACCTTTTAAAAAATTACAATTTGATACCTAAAATTTTTTCCTTACATTTTAGTACCTAAATTTTATTTTTTACAGATAAGTCCCTAAATTTTGATGGCAAAATTACGTTTTGGTACCCAAAAATTTTTCTTTTTACAATTTAGTACCTAAACTTTTAAATTTTTACAAATAGGTCCAACATGTTTCTATGATGCTAAAGGTCAGAGGGTCAAAAAATGACCCGACCCTAAACTGACCCAGCCGACCTTGAGGATTGGGACAGGTCAGTGGATTTTAAAGATCAAACTTACACCCCTACATGAAAGTAGTAAAATTGATCACTCCTGCACGTGGACTATCTAACTAATACATGTCATGTGCGTAAACCACTTAGGAGGAATCACTATTTCCAGTTTCAGCTCAGACATCCAGAGAAAGGACCTGAAATTTAATCCATCATTTTGTTGTGTTTGATTATTTTTTACAATAATACAACATAACTCTTCTGTTGTGAATGTACATTAGAAATGAACAAATTGAAACTACAATCTCCCTCCCCCATCGCCTTTTACTGTTTTGCAGTAACTTTAAGTTACACATCCCAAGCAGCCTCCTCTAAAACTTCCATCAGCTTCTTTGTTTTAAGGGATGAAGGTTTCTGCAGTTAAATGCACATACAAAAGCTGGTGATTTTCTCCATTTTTTATCGGTCCTTTAGTTTACAGTACACAGTTCAGGATTTGGTGTCGATCACTTGCCACCTTTATCGCCTGCTCGTAGTTCTCTTTCAAGCTCGTCGAACTCCCATTCCCCAACCTCCTCTGCTGAATAATCCGTTGGATCAACCTTGCCAAACTCCGACTCTAGCTTTGCCAGTTCTGCTTCAGCATCGAGGGTCTTCCCCGACTCACCGCCACTTGTGACTGGTTTCTTGGGAAGCTCGGCAGGTGGCTTTGGGGAACTAGGCTCTGCCTTGAGAGGCTCGGCTGTAGGAGGGGAAGCAACTTCCGAGGACTTCTCCTCGGATGTTGCTTCTTGCTTTGAGCTCGGAACCTCCACCTCAAGAATTGGTCTGTCAATGGCATCGAATTCCTGTCTCAGCTTTTCGATCTCATCAAATAGCTCTTTCACTCTTTCATCGTGTTTCCTGTCAAGAGATAGCCCGTCATGTGTACAGAACAACACAGGCAGAATTTAGTTAAGAAACAGCCATTATGTGATGGTGACTGGAAATCAGACCTTGAACTTGCGCCTTTTTGAGCATAGAATTGCTCCCTCATGTTATCCACTACACTGAAGGTGGTCACGATCTGACACGAGAGAATGAATGGCATACTCAACTCCAAAGTCCAATGTGTTTTAGGAATTGTACACGTATGGATCAGCAAAAAGAAACCAAACACAAGCACTAACTCACCTTCGCTTCATAGTCCATATATTCTTCCTCAAGATGTCGCCTCGGGCTAATTACTTGAGAATCCTGATTATCTGCACTGGCTGCTACCTCTGACCTGCATTGTGCAAATAAAAAAGAATAAAACAAGCGAGAGCAAAATTCCAGTCCTTGTCTTGTCTTCCTTTAGGCCATATACGAGTACATGACGTTTGAGTGATATCAGAAAACTAAACCTAAAGAGACGAAGTAGATTACCCTGGACTCAATTTCTTCAGGTTCTCAACATATGTACCAATGCGGCCAATAGAAGGTTCCAATTCTTTCTGCATAACAAGGAGAACTCATTGTCAGAAGCATGAAAAGAATATAAAAGAAGCAGGCTAACATCAACATCAGTTCCATTTGAAGTTTTGATCTGTACAACCCCAAAATACACAGCAATGATACCTTGTAATCAGATAGAAGATTGACGGCCAAGTTCGTGAAGTACTCCTCATGTTTCTCCAACTCATCACTTTGAAACAAGGGGAAAAAACAAAACGGCGAACACAAAACCTCAGATAGAGAATCCTAAGGACTACCAGTAAATTGACTGCAAACACTTACGCTGCCTGCTTCTCGATCGTTTCCACATAGGAGCGCTGGAGAACCCAAGTGTCCTCCAAGAAGTTAACCCACGTGCCCAGAACATCAGATTCTACCTTGCATGCAGCGATTGAGCCCGTCAACTCATCTTCCTGTTAAAACACCCACGATATATGTGTCAGACGCATCAAAGATGCATAACTTCACCACTAAATATTTGGCATTCACGAGGATGAAGAAAGGATAAGGCACCTTTGCCTTCAAATGCTCAATGATCTGATTGTTTGCTTCTTCAAACTGGTCCCTTTCTTCTCTGGCATTATTAAGGCGTGCATTTGCAGCAGATAAGGAAATATTAACCTTCACGATACAGAGGAGACTTTCAGTGATAATGCAGTTGGTCAAGGTAACCAAACAACTTCAATTAGAGCC